TCACCGGTGTTTTCAGCCAGGATGGTCTCGATTCCTCCTGACCTCGTTGATCGCCCGTCTCGGGCCTCCCAACAGTGCTGGGGATTTACAGGGCTTTGAGCCACCGCCGCATGCCGGCGTTTTTGTTTTTTTTTTTGACACAGACTCACACTGTGTCACCCAGGCTGGAGTGCAGTGGTACGATCTTGGCTCATTGCAACGTCCGCCTCTTGAGTTCAAGCGATTGTCCTGCCTCAGCCTCCTGAGTAGCTGGGACTACAGGCACGTACCACCACACCCGGCTAATTTTTATATTTTTAGTAGAGATGAGGTTTCATCATGTTGGCCAGGATGGTCTTGCTCTCCTGACCTCGTGATCATCCCCCAACCCCCCGACCTCCCAAAGTGCTGGGATTACAGGCGTGAGCCACTGTGCCCAGCGGGAAGCCTGGTAACTTTTAACAAGGAAGGGATCAGAGATGCAGAGGTTTGATATTTAAGGCTTCAGGATAAAATAATAAGTCTTATGCAATGACCCCCAGTCGGGTACATGTACAAGGACAGGAGAACCAACGTCATTCTCCATGTAAGATCCAGAGTGTTTTGGACGCTATTCCCAGGGGAACAGCTCTCGAGGAAGATCTGTCATCTTCTCCTGGAACAGTTTATCAAACGCTTCAGCCTGGGCCACTGTGAGGTGATTTTTCCAGTCCCCAGATACGCCTGGAAACATGAAGCAGAAACTCAGGTCACATCACACATCTCCTTGGTCCGTTCCCACCAGGCACCTGACATGGACACTGTCGATAACACAGCAGAATGGCCGATGGTTCATGGTGGGCCTTTGTCCTGCCTGGCCACATAGTCGTTCACCTAGCTGGAAACGATTTCCTACCTTCTCCTCTCTCCCATCCATCCTGTGTACAATTCCTCAGCAATAATGCCAGTATATCATCTGGTATGTCCAGAGTCGAGTCACGTCTCACCACCTCTGTTTCTACCACATTGACCTAAGCCAACATCATTTTTCACCTGGATTATTGCAGTACACTTATAACTGGTCTCTGCTCTTTTTTTTTTTTTTTTTTTTTTTTTTTTTTTTGAGACAGGATCTTGCTCTGTCACCCAGCTTTTCTAAGGCCACACCTAATTTGGAGATGATAGTATTCTTTTTTTTTTTTTTTTGTGGAGACAGAGTCTTCTTTTTCCCCCAGGCTAGAGTGCAGTAGCGCCATCTCGGCTCACTGCAACCTCTGCCTCCTGAGTTCAAGCATTCTCGTGCCTCAGCCTCCTGAATAGCTGGGATTACAGGCACCTGCCACTATACCCGGCTAATTTTTGTACTTTTAGTAGAGATGGGGTTTTGCCATGTTGGCCAGGCTGGTCTCGAACTCCTGACCTCAGGTGATCTGCCTGCCTCGGCCTCCCAAAGTGCTGGGAGGATCATCAGATGTGAGCACTGTGCCAGCCTGGTCTCTGCTTTTGATCGTTCTTTTTCATAGTTCCAGGTCTCCGCATGGCAGCCCTCATGATCCCAGATCATGTCACTTCTCTGCTCACGACTCTGCCGACGCACTCTCAGTTACTCAGAGTACGAACGTGCTGGGAGGCGCTTGACAGGGCTCCAAGGTGATCCAGCCCCCTGGTGGCTTCTCTGAGGGGCTCATTCCCCTAAAACTACCCTCTCCATCCACTCTACTCACCCACGGGGACTTCCTGGATTCCCGCCTCCAACACATGACAGGCGATCCCCATTCCTCAGAGATTGGTGTCCCACGCTCCTTCTCCTTGGAATGCTGCTGTCGCAGATTGGCCCATGACTTGCCCTATTTGCGCTCTTGTCAAGTCTTTGTTCCAATTCAAGTTTCTCAGCGACGGTCTCTCTCACCACCCAGTTTACAGTTCACTCCCTGATCCTTGCTTT